GCTACGACCGGAGTGCCATTTCGTCTCCGGCGGCCACACTTCCGGGGGTGGGCGAAGCCAGCATACAGCACAGGAACCCAGATGCCCTCGTTAGCGGGACCACACTACCCTACAGTGTTGTTTCGGACTTTGGGGACGATGTTACCAATTCCGTGTCACCTGTTAGTGTTGCCAGTCTACAACGCAAACTTGCAGAGCTGAAACACATGATAGCCAACATGACCAGCCATAACGCAGTGACCACCGAGTACGCAGCTACAAGCCTACCGGATCAACTCAGCCATGATGTGCCGTCGGACTCGTTGCCCCACATCCACACAGTCGCGCCGGCGCTCAAGAAGAAGATAAAAGACGGCAAGTACTGTAACCTTGCCTTGCTATTGATACCTAATCAAGACACGCTAGACGCTAGAATGGCCGAATATGATGGCAATGTGTATCATTTAAAGGAGGATGCTAGGCTAAATCGCACTCTTACACTAGCAGAATTTATACAGGCCTTTGGCATTTACAAGGACATTCTGTGTGACATCAATAACGCCAAACGGAAACAATTGGATGGACACGAGCAAACTGTCATCGAACTGGCTACGTTGTATGGGGGCTCTGCGCACTATGACTACCACAAGTTATTTGCTGCCAGAGTGGCGTCCTACGCAGAAGAAGGTTGCAGCATTCGCTGGGATATGAGGGACACACGTCTGTACGGGCTGTGTTCTTCGGGGCGCCGTTCCAGATCGTGTGCGATTTGCCACAGCATCACCCATGGTACAGACTTGTGTCCTGAGCGACGTACTGATACAGTTAGGCCTACCCTGTTCTCGGACCGAAGTGGCAGCTCCGACAGGATGGGGGCGACGGACAAAAACGACACCAGGGGACGACCTAGAGTTAGGTCAAACGGAAGGGAGGCCTGCAATAATTTCAATCACCAGGGCTGTGTGAGAGTGAACTGTGCATACCTTCATGTATGTCTCAATTGTCATGCCCCAAACCACGGACAGGCAACTTGCGCCAAGGCTCCCAAATTGATATAACCAGAGAAGAGGACGCAGGCACCCTAACAGTCCAACTCACTCCCATCAATGTTCAGGCTATACAGGCAGAACTCGCCTCTCATCCCCATCCTCCATTTGCTCCATATCTCGTCAACGGCTTGCAACATGGCTTCGACCCCTTAATGTCGGATGTTCCACAGTCAACAACGGAATGTAACAACAATCGTAGTGCTACATTAGATCCAATAGTTGTGACTAAGGCAGTGCAAACAGAAGTCGATAAAGGATACGGGCACAACATGGGGGCTGCCTCGGTTGCCTAAGAGACCCTGGGGTCGTGGAGACCCGGGTAAGATAACAATGTCCTGGGGTCTTATGGACCCGGACTGTGTAGCTGTGAGAGGGATATGCCGGTCCTGGGGTCCGATGACCCGGACGATCCCTAGAGTTAAGCTAGTACTGGTCGTGCTGACCGGACAGTACCGAAATAGCGTAAGTTCTTTGGGGGCCACAAGCCTTCCATGCTCTGAGTATGGAGTGGCTTATGACGCCGAGGCAGCCCCAGGAGATAAGGTATATACACAATATATATATATATATATAGGCGCCTGATAAACAGCCATGGAATGGACGCCAATACATGAGTACTAGCGAATGCACAAGGAATCACGTTCGTGATGCTCGTGAATACATTGGCCATGAAAGTCAGGAGGAACTAAGGGGTGGCTGGAGGGTAACGCAGTTGAGTGGCTTGCGACAATGTAGAAAGTAGCCTCGTGCGGGGCTGCAGGGTTAATAAAGGTAAACACTGTGACGTCATGTCCGTCTTACTGGGCATGCGCAGACTGTTTAGAAGTGCATTGTGGGATGTAATTACTGTAACATGATCCAGACGGCATAAAAAACATGTTCGGGTGACAGAGTTCAGAAATCGTGTTGAATATAAACGTAATGAGGTGATTGACCTGTAATTGGTATCTTAAATATGAACGCGTAAGTACTGTTGTTGTTGCACAAACTAAAATATCCAATTACCATTTTGTGCCACAAACAACATGAAATGTATTACATAGCAGGAAGTTTTATTATATACAGATATTTACATAAACATTTGGCACAACATGGGGGCTGCCTCGGTTGCCTAAGAGACCCTGGGGTCGAAGTGACCCGGGTTGACACCCTGGGGTCGTGGAGACCCGGGTAAGATAACAATGTCCTGGGGTCTTATGGACCCGGACTGTGTAGCTGTGAGAGGGATATGCCGGTCCTGGGGTCCGATGACCCGGACGATCCCTAGAGTTAAGCTAGTACTGGTCGTGCTGACCGGACAGTACCGAAATAGCGTAAGTTCTTTGGGGGCCACAAGCCTTCCATGCTCTGAGTATGGAGTGGCTTATGACGCCCAAACGAGGTTAGCAACCGAGAGCCCCCAAAGAATTAATATAGGTAAATAACATGAATATGGTACTTAGTGATGGTGACACATAGCCTTGTGGGCTTGCCCTAAGGTGGATCAGTCAATACCTGGTGTGACCACCATTTGCATTGATCACTGCCACACATCTCCTGTACATTGAGTGGATCAGACGATTTGTGAAGGCCCTAGGGATCCTCCTGCACACATCCAGAGCAGCTGTGCGTAGTTCATTTGTAGGGACTGGGCGCTCACTGTGCAGACGCCTTTGAACCTCATCCCACAAGTGTTCGATGGGGTTCAGATCAGGGCTGAGGGCTGGCAACGGTAGAACAGGGATATTGTGTTGTTGCAGAAAGGCCATGGTAGCTCTGGCAGCATGGGGACGAGCGTTGTCCTGCTGGAAAATGTGTCGTTGATGTTGTGCAAAAAATGGAACAATGTGGGGTCTGATCACTTGGTTGATATACCGCTGAGCAGTGACGCTGTGTCCCCGACCTTGACCAACATTCAGAAAGCACATGGGTCCAAGTCTCACATTAAGTCCAATCCCTGCCCATATCATGACGCTAGGTCCACCCCATGGATCCCTTTCCACAACGTTTCTGTCAGCGAAACGATCACCTCGACGCCGCCAAATTCTGACTCTTCCGTCTGCATGGGAGACACAAAAGCGACTTTCAGCGAGAAGATGACACGCCTCCACTCACGATGACGCCAATTGTGATGACCCTGTGCCCACTGAAGTCGTGCTTGTCGATGCCGTGGTTGGAGAACAGGACGACGTGCTGGTTGGTGACATCTGATTTTGTTGGAATGGAGACGTCGGATCACAGTGTCCCGGCTAATGTGTCGATTATATGTTCCTATGGTTCTTATGGCACTTTCACTTGCAGTTAGGAACGGATGTCACTGGTGTTGAGGGGTAATCTGCAGATCTTGTCGAGGTGTGGTGACCCTAGGACGACCGCTCCGAGGAAGGTCATCTGTGGTCTGTGTAGCATTGTATCGATTCAGGAGATGGTAAATTGTGGTTATGTTAACCTTGAAATGACGGGCAACATCTTGGACGGACTCTCCAGCTTCCAAACGTCCGATAGCCTGGTTTCTCTGAATTTGAGTTAGGCATGGCATTGTTGACCAAGGAGTGGTGGGTCCAAGAATCGGACACAGTTTTATACCCACTACAGTTCGTGACAGTTTGTGCATTTTCGATTTTGCAAGAAATGGGTGCATGATACGCACATATTCATTGAAATGGCGCGTTTTGGCGATTCATTTTTTTATGTTGCGTTTTTACTTGGAGCTTCCAAAATGCAACCAAAAATATTGATAACACCATCAGGCTTCACTACATGCTAAAACTCGTATCAATTTATGGTTCCGTGTTGGGTACCTATTTGCTTAAAACCACTTGTGTTTCTTTTGCATGTGAGTATATGTTCGGTTGCCCATTACTAGGTCAATACGTACCAAGTTGTGTTACCTGGTATTTTTCGCATTCCTCAAAGATAGATTCAATTCGCATGTCAATTTGTGTTTTAATTCAGAAGTTTTATTTGCTAGCGATTTGTCACTCCTTACACTCACTGATCCATTCTGCAAAGGTGTTAACATTGTGCTGCACTGGATGAATACTGCAATTTGCCCAGTAACAAACATGCTGACCTACATGTATCACAGGAAACAATCTGGAACTTCCCCTCATGACCCCTTATTTGTGTCACCCAGTGGTAGTGCCTTATCCAGGAAGTTCTTTATTCAGTGCCTCAAAAACTTGTTAAATATGGCTGGGTACAAAGACAAAGTCTACAACGGACATTCGACCTCAGCGTGTTACACTCGCTATATCAGAAAATCCCAACCTTCCATATGTAAAGCCCAGATATCAATGGCACAAAGGTGACAATAATGTAACCATACTGACTATGCTAATGTGGTATTCATATGTGAATTTAACCAGTCATCAAATAGGATTTGCACAAGATTTGATTCTGTACCATTACATAATGTTCATTTTTTTATCTCTTCTGGTCTAATTACTTTTGGGGATTCTCATCAATTCAACTGCACAATTATCATTAATAATAATTTGGGTAATCTATCCACTCTATCAGATGGTAATTCAGGTGGATACTATTCCCCCCTCAAGTAATTTAACCTTAAGTCATTCATCATCATTCGTCTACTTGGGTATAATCTGGTATAATGTTCAACATCCACTTTCACATACTCAGTCAAGTCTCCCTACGCTCAAACAAGTATGGAGTGCGCAAGTCCTATTCAGGAATACGCTAAAGTAAAGTCTTTCATAGTAACCATGTACTATTTTAATGTGTATATGTATATAATGAGAATACCCATATGCCCCAAAATAATGAATGATACATTTTTTAGCTATTGTTGTGTTGATCTTGTCATTATCCTGTACTTACCCATCTTTGCGTTTGTGCACTGTATATAGGGCTAAAGAATCCTGTACTTACCCATCTTTGAGTTTGTGCACTGTATATAGGGCTAAAGAATCCTGTACTTACCCATCTTTGAGTTTGTGCACTGTATATAGGGCTAAAGAATCCTGTACTTACCCATCTTTGAGTTTGTGCACTGTTTCAGACACTTTCTCCCGTGCTTCATCATTCCAAATCAACTCTGGGTTTTCATGAGAGCCTAGAGAACAAAATCAAACCTACAGAACATCTTATGTATAAGTATAAATCATTACAAATGCATTTTCATTATGTTTCCTCTTTCATGTGACATATGTTTATGACCTAATATTGATAACTTAGTTTACCCTACCTGTTGCATATGCATCACTAATGATTTCCCTATTGGACAAATTAAATTGGGGCAGGGGGATGAGGCTGGAGGCTGGGGATAGAGGTGGGGTTGCTTGAAGCTCTCACTTCTTTCCAGCAACAGCTACTTTGATGCAGATATTGGGAAAGGATGTGTGTGATTACTCCTGATGTAATAGAGGTAGTAGAATACTTTAAAACAATGATAACTACTCTTTGATAATTCCTACAAATACAAAACCTCTATTACATCATTACCAGAATATACCTGAGGAATCAGTGGGTTTTGACATCCAGTAAAACCTTGGAGAGCTAGCAGTTATACTGAATTTACAAAGGAATTTTCACCCAAATTCCATGATTCCAGTCCCAATTTGGTCTTCTTTCTTTTAAATCCAGTATTTCGGGATACTTAATATGTCTCCAACCAAAACTCTTAGTTTCTATGGACCAATATTAGGTGAACATAATCCTGAAATCACCTCAAAAGGCCTGTATTCGGAAAAATGTGAAAGACACATGTGTTAAACTTCCAACAAACTACCTTTATATTTGCGTCCAATTTCCCAATTTATGTGACATCATCAATCCCTACTAATCAGTCAAGGTCCAACACAACATTCCAGACCACTGCATCACTTCCAGCAGCTTTGACATCATTGCTATGACTTCTGAGAGGGATATGACAGGAGATAACACCCCACCCAAAGAAGGAAGGGGGAGCTACTGGTTGAGGGTTGCATGAGTTGGGACCACTGGCACTGTGCTAAATATTCCTTCCATGCCTCGTTGTACATTTCCTCGACAGTACGTAATAAAAGTGTTTTAGGTGTGCCACTGACAGATGGAGACCTCTTGCTCAACTGAAACTGTTTCCACGAAACAAGATGTGGAAAATACTCTGATCTCATAAGGACTTAATGTACCAAACATAGGAGTGGGTATCTTCAGGTAATCATCTTCCTCTGTCAAATAATTCCTCTTTGATGTTGGAATCGGGTTCCAATATAAGTTGTCTCCTGTACCGGGTTGATCTCTGATTTGGTTGGATGTGCCATAAACCAGAGATATTACAAAAGTTCGATTTGGAAGATTCGATTTGGGAGAGTCTTGTCCAGAGTGGTCGAGGCTCATCATCCTCTCCCCAGTCCCGAGTGAGGAGCATTTTTTTTGTCTACTGATTCCATTTGGAATAACCACGGGCATTAACAAGTATTTCAGATTTATGATCATGCATATATCGGTGGTGTTTTATTTTTTGAAGATTGGAGAATAAAAACTATGGCTGTGATCCATATCTTCTGGTTACTGCATGACACACTTGTCCAGTAGTATCTGAATGGTCAAAGAGGATGCTGTTAGCTTGGAACCTTCCAGATGGAACTGGTGACCCAGTGGAGGAGATACAATTTCTGGTTGTTGATGCAAGTGTATCTTGTGTCATCCTCAAACAACTTGAAGAATCCTGGAGATAAGTATACCTCTGGAGAAAAGGTTTATTACAAACGTCGTGATAGCAGAAAATGGAAAGGACCAAGAACTGTGATTGGTCAAAACGGGGTGGTTGTTTTCGCTAAACAGGGTGGTTTATCTATTCGAGTACATTGTCAACTGCCAAGTGTCAAATAGGAGAAAGTCATCATGAAAATTTGATACCGGTGAATATGTCAAATGAAATCTTGAAATTGACAGTTCAAACCATGCAGATTCCTCTTGTCAAAATATCTGGCATGTCCGCAGCCTAAAAAGCGGCTATGCGTTGTACCAGCAGGCTCATTCCCAGACACACTGTGTGAGTAACCGTGATGTAGGTCAAGTTCTGCCACATCCAAGTTCTGGGTGGAGAGGCAATAATTTTTATTTTTTTGATTATTTACTGGGGTAATTGCTTACTACCTAATAAAACTTCCCCATGTAAAATAAATAGTAGAATGTTAATTCATAAAGTTTCTTGGAGAAATATATTGGTTAAGAATTTTTAATACTATTTCTACAACCTTTCACCCCTACAATGGAAATGGCCTACTCAATTTCCAAGAAATGACTTCTCTCGCTGATTTCCAAGAAATGACTTGTCGAGTCTGAATAGTGCATCTATCTTTGGACTAAGTTTGGTGGGTTATTTGTCATCGTCTTTTTGAACACATATTTTGAACTTTTCAAGACTATGGGTATTTCAATGTTGAACTTTATTTATTTGGTACACATATAATTACCTGTGGTCACAAGAATACAGGTATCCAGCAACCTATGCTTGTCTGCTGTGGGGATTCCAGGTAAGAATACAGGTCCCCAGCAACCTAGGCTTGTCTCCCCAGGTGGGGATTTCAGGTAAGAATACAGGTCTCCAGCAACCTAGCCTTGTCTCCGCATGCGGGGATTTCAGATAAGAATACGGGTCCCCAGCAACCTATGCTTGTCTCCCCATGTGGGGATTCCAGGTAAGAATACAGGTCTCCAGCAACCTATGCTTGTCTCCCAAAGTGGGGATTTCAGGTAAGAATACAGGTATCCAGCAGCCTATAATTGTCTCCCCAGGTGGGGATTCCAGGTAAGAATACAGGTCCCCAGCAACCTATGCTTGTCTGCTGTGGGGATTCCAGGTAAGAATACAGGTCCCCAGCAACCTAGGCTTGTCTCCCCAGGTGGGGATTTCAGGTAAGAATACAGGTCTCCAGCAACCTAGCCTTGTCTCCGCATGCGGGGATTTCAGATAAGAATACGGGTCCCCAGCAACCTATGCTTGTCTCCCCATGTGGGGATTCCAGGTAAGAATACAGGTCTCCAGCAACCTATGCTTGTCTCCCAAAGTGGGGATTCCAGGTAAGAATACAGGTTCCCAGCAACCTATGCTTGTCTCCACATGCGGGGATTTCAGGTAAGAATACAGGTCCCCAGCAACCTATGCTTGTCTCCCCATGTGGGGATTCCAGGTAAGAATACAGGTATCCAGCAACCTATGCTTGTCTCCCCATGTGGGGATTCCAGGTAAGAATACAGGTCTCCAGCAACCTATGCTTGTCTCCCAAAGTGGGGATTCCAGGTAAGAATACAGGTTCCCAGCAACCTATGCTTGTCTCCACATGCGGGGATTTCAGGTAAGAATACAGGTATCCAGCAACCTATGCTTGTCTCCACAAGGGGGGATTTCAGATAAGAATACGGGTCCCCAGCAACCTATGCTTGTCTCCCAAAGTGGGGATTCCAGGTAAGAATACAGGTATCCAGCAACCTATGCTTGTCTCCCAAAGTGGGGATTCCAGGTAAGAATACAGGTCCGCAGCAACCTATACTTGTCTCCCCAGGTGGGGATTCCAGGTAAGAATACAGGTATCCAGCAACCTATGCTTGTCTCCCCATGTGGGGATTCCAGGTAAGAATACAGGTCCACAGCAACCTATCTGTCTCTCCATGTGGGGATTCCAGGTAAGAATACAGGTCCCCAGCAACCTATGCTTGTCTCTCCATGTGGGGATTCCAGGTAATAATACAGGTCCCCAGCAACCTATGCTTGTCTCCCCATGTGGGTATTCCAGGTAAGAATACAGGTATCCAGCAACCTATGCTTGTCTCCCCATGTGGGGATTCCAGGTAAGAATACAGGTATCCAGCAACCTATGCTTGTCTCTCCATTTTGGGATTCCAGGTAAAAATACAGGTATCCAGCAACCTATGCTTGTCTCCCAAAGTGGGGATTCCAGGTAAGAATACAGGTTCCCAGCAACCTATGCTTGTCTCCACATGCAGGGATTTCAGGTAAGAATACGGGTCCCAAGCAACCTATGCTTGTCTCCCAAAGTGGGGATTCCAGGTAAGAATACAGGTCTCCAGCAACCTATGCTTGTCTCTCCATGTGGGGATTCCAGGTAAGAATACAGGTCCCAAGCAACCTATGCTTGTCTCCCAAAGTGGGGATTCCAGGTAAGAATACAGGTCTCCAGCAACCTATCTGTCTTTCCATGTGGGGATTCCAGGTAAGAATACAGGTCCCCAGCAACCTATGCTTGTCTCCCAAAGTGGGGATTCCAGGTAAGAATACAGGTCTCCAGCAACCTATGCTTGTCTCTCCATGTGGGGATTCCAGGTAAGAATACAGGTCCCAAGCAACCTATGCTTGTCTCCCAAAGTGGGGATTGCAGGTAAGAATACAGGTCTCCAGCAACCTATGCTTGTCTCTCCATGTGGGGATTCCAGGTAAGAATACAGGTCCCAAGCAACCTATGCTTGTCTCCCAAAGTGGGGATTTCAGGTAAGAATACAGGTCCCCAGCAACCTATCTGTCTTTCCATGTGGGGATTCCAGGTAAGAATACAGGTCCCAAGCAACCTATGCTTGTCTCCCAAAGTGGGGATTCCAGGTAAGAATACAGGTCTCCAGCAACCTATGCTTGTCTCTCCATGTGGGGATTCCAGGTAAGAATACAGGTCCCAAGCAACCTATGCTTGTCTCCCAAAGTGGGGATTCCAGGTAAGAATACAGGTCTCCAGCAACCTATGCTTGTCTTTCCATGTGGGGATTTCAGGTAAGAATACAGGTCCCCAGCAACCTATCTGTCTTTCCATGTGGGGATTCCAGGTAAGAATACAGGTCCCAAGCAACCTATGCTTGTCTCCCAAAGTGGGGATTTCAGGTAAGAATACAGGTCCCCAGCAACCTATGCTTGTCTCCACATGCGGGGATTTCAAATAAGAATACGGGTCCCAAGCAACCTATGCTTGTCTCCCAAAGTGGGGATTCCAGGTAAGAATACAGGTCTCCAGCAACCTATGCTTGTCTCTCCATGTGGGGATTCCAGGTAAGATTACAGGTCCCAAGCAACCTATGCTTGTCTCCCAAAGTGGGGATTTCAGGTAAGAATACAGGTCCCCAGCAACCTATCTGTCTTTCCATGTGGGGATTCCAGGTAAGAATACAGGTCCCCAGCAACCTATCTGTCTTTCCATGTGGGGATTCCAGGTAAGAATACAGGTCCCAAGCAACCTATGCTTGTCTCCCAAAGTAGGGATTTCAGGTAAGAATACAGGTCCCAAGCAACCTATGCTTGTCTCCCAAAGTGGGGATTTCAGGTAAGAATACAGGTCCCAAGCAACCTATCTGTCTTTCCATGTGGGGATTCCAGGTAAGAATACAGGTCCCAAGCAACCTATGCTTGTCTCCCAAAGTGGGGATTCCAGGTAAGAATACAGGTATCCAGCAACCTATGCTTGTCTCTCCATGTGGGGATTCCAGGTAAGAATACAGGTCCCAAGCAACCTATGCTTGTCTCCCAAAGTGGGGATTCCAGGTAAGAATACAGGTCTCCAGCAACCTATGCTTGTCTCTCCATGTGGGGATTTCAGGTAAGAATACAGGTCCCCAGCAACCTATCTGTCTTTCCATGTGGGGATTCCAGGTAAGAATACAGGTCCCAAGCAACCTATGCTTGTCTCCCAAAGTGGGGATTTCAGGTAAGAATACAGGTCCCCAGCAACCTATGCTTGTCTCCACATGCGGGGATTTCAAATAAGAATACGGGTCCCAAGCAACCTATGCTTGTCTCCCAAAGTGGGGATTCCAGGTAAGAATACAGGTCCCCAGCCACCTATCTGTCTCTCCATGTGGGGATTCCAGGTAAGAATACAGGTCCCCAGCAACCTATGCTTGTCTCTCCATTTTGGGATTCCAGGTAAGAATACAGGTCTCCAGCAACTAATGCTTGTCTCCCCATGAGGGGATTCCAGGTAAGAATACAGGTCTGCAGAAACCTATCCTTGTCTCTCCATGTAGGGATTTCAGGTAAGAAAACAGGACTCAAGGAACCCATGTTTGTCTCCCCAGGTGGGGATTCCAGGTAAGAATACAGGTCCCTAGCCACCTAGCCTTGTCTCCACATGCGGGGATTCCAGGTAAGAATACAGGTCTCCAGCAACCTATGCTTGTCTCCCCAGGTGGGGATTCAGGTAAGAATACAGGTCCCCAGTAACCTATGCTTGTCTCCCCATGTGGGGATTTCAAGTAAGACTACAGATCCCTAACAACCTATGCTTGTCTCTCCATGTAGGGATTTCAGGTAAGAAAACAGGACTCAAGGAACCCATGTTTGTCTCCCCAGGTGGGGATTCCAGGTAAGAATACAGGTATCCAGCAACCTTTGCTTGTCTCCCCATGTGGGGATTTCAGGTAAGAATACAGGTCCCCAGCAACCTATGCTTGTCTCCCCAGTTGGGGATTTCTGGTAAGAATACAGGTCTGCAGCAACCTATGCTTGTCTCCCCAGGTGGGGTTTTCAGGTAAGAATACGGGTCCACAGCACAAATACACAAGGTAATCTTAATCCCTGGATGTAAAACAATGCCTAGCAGAATAAAGAAAACAATTTAAACGGTAAATCAACATGTCTGGTGATTTTTATCTCAAATTTCAAATTTGTACTGACCAAGTTTCTTATCAACCGTTCGTTCACCGGAATTCGTTGTAGGGTAACAGTGTAATTTTTACTGCGCATATTTTTTTATTTTTCCCCCCGAAATACTGAATCCACATTATACTTGGGTGCACACTATACTCAAGAAAATATGGTAGGTGTTTGTCTCTCCATCGAGATTTCAGGTAAGAATACAGGTCCCCAGCGACCTATGCTTGTCTCCCTATGTGGGGATTTCAGGTAAGAATACAGGTCCCCAGCAACCTATGCTTGTCTCCCCATGTGGGGATTTCAGGTAAGAATACAGGTATCCAGCAACCTATGCTTGTCTTTCTGTGGGGTTTCAAGGTAAAAATGCAAGTCCCCAGTAACCTATGCTTGTCTCCCTACGTGTGGATTATGTCGTATGACACTGACGTGGAATTATGGTCATGATGTCAATTTCTAGATTGTCTGGTCAGAATTTGAATTTTTCATATCTCTGTCACATTGTTGTAATATTGCTGAGTGTGGTGTTAACAACAAACAAACAAATCTGACAATGTGAATTGATGAAAAGACACAGACAGAACCACAGACGATAATTCAGGTGACTATTATTTATGTTCAACCGGCTGTAAATTCTCAAATTTCTACTCACCTTCAAACATGTGCACACTAGCTTCAGGTGAATCACGCATGGCATCCATGAATATTGCAGGAAGGAACTTGTTGAGAATAATGCGGACCTTTGGACCAATGAGTTTGTCTGCTAACATCTTTGCAAACAGCTCAGCTGTTTTTTCTCGAATCTGTGGATGTGTAGCATTACAGAAGAGATCCAACAGATAGATAAGGGCTCCCTTGGACATAGCTTCTTTCACTATCTTTGTGCTTGACATTAGGGCGAACAAGCTCTCCAATGTCAATAAACGACCTGAAATTACAAGAATAAAGGACTATATTTACCAGCTTGTTTCACACATATATCACAAGTAATAAGGCCATGATAACAAATATCTGTTTCAGGCAACCAGACCCAGTAATTGGAAGTTGAACTGGTAGGTGGGGAATTAGTAGTAGATTATATTTTTTCAATCAGACTACTAAATGACCAGAAAAATGTTTGAAAGTACTTGCAGAAACAGAAGCAGTCCTCTCTGAGCCATTACTGGTTTGGTGAAATGCATGTCTACAATAACATCCTACCATATTCCAAGTACCTATAGCTAACATAATGAGGAACCTGAAGGGATTTCCCCTGTAATGACATCACTTCCAGTTTGGAGAAACACATGTCTAATGTAAGACAAATTGAAAACAGAAAGTACTGTCATGCATAGAGCTACCAAAATAAGACATACTTTGGTTGTGTCATAGCAACTGATTTGGGACAACCATTGTCTGAAGAACAATTGATTCCAAAGGCCAAGTACCCTGTAGCCATGACATATATATGTCTTCATAACTTAATTGTCGTTATGCATAAGGCGCTAATCCCTGTTGTTAATTCTCACCAACATTCCATTGTATATTGACTGTCAACCAACCTGGGCTACCGTATCACTTCCCGATAATTACTGTTATTTATTGTATGACAATTAGTGCCTTAATTGATCATTCCCTGAGCTGTGTCGGTTCATCACACCCGTATGTCCCATGTCCAGAGCAACGTCATTGTCTCTTTGTCTGTCCATTGTTGTTCATTACTATATATCTGTTATATGTGACATCATAGCCTTAACCCGCTGGATGTCGAGTTTTTTTTCTGACGCACATTTTCCTAAGATTGGAAAAGTCAAGGTTGTGCGAGAATTGTGCTCACGTGGCACTTGATCTACCTAAAGCTATAAAATTACGCAGAGGTGGAGAATATTAAATTTCCAGATATTAAAAGTTAACAGCAAATATAAAACCGGTTTTAAAAAAATACACTTCCAAGTGTTGTCCGAGAATTTATTCTGTGTTGAAAAACAGTAAATTTCTCCGCTTTTTATCGTACACCGATAAAAGTACTGTGCAACGATTTTTTTTATTTAGAAGCCTTACGGAAACTGTGAGTGAACAAAATACTGCCTAATATCTGAACGACATAGCTATATATCAAATGGAGTTATATGCGTATGTATAACGACATACATTCAATGCCAAAAATAGCATGCCGTAAATGACGAAAACTGATTTTTCTCTATGACGTCAAAAGGCGGCATAGAGGTTACACACGTATCAAGAAAAGGGGGCATAGCTCTGCTATGCTTAGCACTAGTTTACTGTAACTCAGGTCACTTGGTGAGAATTTGCTGTGGGTAAGGATAATATATTTTAGTGGTGTTTTTTTCACAAGGAACCAAACTATTCCAACACAAATATCGATAAATAAACTGTATACATTTAGTTATAAAAAAACCCATAAGAAATGATGAAATCATAAATTATAAAAAAGAGGTAATAGAGAAATGGATGGCCCTATGTAACCTATAACTTAGTCCTTAGATTCAAACATTCTTCTGAATGTGTAAGTGTAATTTGACTAATGTCGCACCATTATTAATGGAGCACTAGCCTTATCATCAAATGTAATGAAATACCAAAAACATAACACCATTCTATTTGACGTCATGGCTGGTTTTATGGCTTTGATAACATAGGAGAAAGACAACAATGGTATTTTGATTAATATATATCTCCCCTAATTTTCGTTCATGGTATGGAAAATCTCGATGTGTAAAACAGAATTTGACGCTTTTTCGACACAACATAAAATGACTGCTTTCACCAAGTAAATAATGTCTTAAATATGTAAACAATTAGATAGTTTATCGTGTATCTTAATTGGACCAGACATGCACCTGTTTGGCATCAATGTACGTAATGAAATACCCAAAAGAATATTTCAAAACAACCAAAATTATATTCAATATTGGACACATATTTGTTCATTACTATGTTATCATTTCTTGTCATCTCATCTCAGAATTACACAATAAAAGATGCGAAGAAAGCTCTATTGGCATAGAATTATCACGATTATCGTTTAAGGTTGAACCAATGGGGTACCTGGCATGGATTATATTTTTATACATTTTACAATTCCTGGAGAAATAAAGTAAACAGTATAATATCCTGTGATCACAATATTGAAAAAAGAATGAACCCATTGATTATATAATGCAAAACGAGAGGAATATATCGTAAATTGTTTGTGACTAACGCGCACCTGGCGAATCGTTAGATATCACTGTTCTGTGTATCAAACGACATAAAAAACAAGACCAAGACAATTCTTTCAGAAATGTGTGCATATATTTTAACGAAAAATATTATCCATTTTGTTAAAGTAATATATTCAGTTTTAGTTATAAAATAAAATGAAACAGCTATTCAAGGACATTGGTTATATGAACTTATAATATTGACTATTACACATCCCAAGAAATAAGTACATGCTGCAGTTACATTTACACTTCATCTTGTAACACTTGTCCAAAGGAAAGAAATATCGTATTCGACACTAAAAACCTATCAATTGTTATGTAAACAATGTTCAAACAAACAGGAGATTATCAAAGGTTCGTTCATACATGCTGTGGCCTATATTTACATATGATATTATTTTGAACATTGACAAATATCCAAAGTGAAATTAATTGTGTGAAAAAAATGTATAAAAGATATGCAAAATCTACATCATAACTGAAACTGTAAACAGCATGATACAATGATCGTATGCACTCTCATTCAAGGACCTTTACCGCAAAGAAATTACCAAATATATACAACAATGTTGACGTATGACATCACTACCTGTGACCGACTTTTACAAAATGGCGTGTTCACTGTCAACAGTACGCAGGATTTTATGAGGGGACTTTCGATGATTCAGGGATTGTATATACATAAATGTGACATGTAAGTAATCAGAAACATTCTGCCAAGCTATGTACTGTTATTTATTGTTATAATTTTCATTGAAACAAACTGAAATAGTCAAATATTCCGATAAATACCATTGTTGTTGTGCATGATTTTGCGTCAGTCATGGCGTCACACAGGACGGTAACTTTGACAATTTATGTTGCAAATAGCAAATCATTGCAATGTAACTATTTTATATTCCTTAATTTTTCCTACTATTCTCTTCCCATGCTTATTCTGAAAATGTTTAGCCAATATGTTGAAAGAATAAACAAATTGATAGCTCAAAATAGGAGAAAATGCTACACTGTGTAAAATCTGTATTTTGCTTTGTTTACATTTCAAACAAGTGCAGTTTTTCGAGCACAGCGTTCCTTTTCACACCTAACACATTTTGCTTCATTTCATCCAGCCACTTTGTATTAGTGACAAAGACCATTGGTCATTTGATTCTAAAATGTATGAGGAATTTAAGGATGTGTGTATGACAGCTAAGTTTGAAATATACATGATGTTACAGGCACCTCATAACCAGTGTACCTGAAACGTGATTTTGTAAACACTATCCAATATGGCGGAAAGTTCACTTCGGCGTTCGTGTTTGCGTATAATTATTGACACAGTGATGTAATTAAAATTTGTCACTATTCACAACTCCTATTTTGATTTTTCTATTGTTCAGTTGTATTTTCGATCAGTTTTATATGTATAAAAAATCTTCTCTAGTATTTATAAACCAAACACAGTTCTGTGTTGTGGGTAATGCTATGGCTAACATTACAAGCATGAGATGGAAGCCAGATGAAACTCTTGTCCATAGTCTCTGATCGAGTATATCCCACCTAATGCTGGTACCTTCCTCAGAAAAGGCTGCCACTCTTACTGTGAACAAGTGGGCTGTCCCACCATACTGCGTGGCCAAATCAATCACTGTCTGTTCATGGCCGTCCAGTTGACATCGTTTCTCTGCATTGCCAGCAAAGTATATATCCTCGTATATTCAAAATGCCTTGATGAATTCTCCAAGTGTTAATAAGCGATTAATCCTTAGTTCATCACATAAGTTGAAAGTCTGTCCATCAAAATCTGACACTCTGTCTAAATTGTCCTGAAGAAGCAAGGCTAAACTGACATATTTACCTTGTTGTACCCTCCTTTTAGAGTGGATGAAATGTGTGTATGTGTGGCAGTGAATCCGAGGCCACATCCCTGATTAGCTGTCTGGGAACATCACTACTTGCTTCTGTGGCTTGTCTTGACTCCTCTCTAGGGTTGTCACTGGTGGTGGTAAATGTACATGTAGGAGGTTGTAATTGTTGTCCCAAGTTCATGACAATAGACTTCAATTCAGCGATCTCCCTTTGTAATGAAAATACTGTCACTGTATTTTCTGTGGCACTAGCAGAATTTATCAGAGCAAAATCCTGTGAATTGTCTCTCTGTAGCGGCACATCACCGCCTTGATCTTGACTGACTGGAGCTGGTTGAGAGATAGTAGCGGTGGTGACCGTGTTGTTGGTGCCTATCATCACCCTCGGATTTTCATTGTAGAGCTGCATTAATGTCCGTCTGGACCAGGAAGTGGGCACATTACCACCCATGTCTGTCAGACGTTGAATATCAGCTGCTGTCAAATATGGAGAGCTTCTGTTTACATTCCTGTGAGAGGAAACTTGGCTGTCTGTCAGCCATTGTGACGATAGCAACAAACAGTTGTACCTCATAACACAACAGGATGGCAAAGGATTGTTGTAGATTTTCCTTGGATGACGGTGATTCATAATGACAGCTGAGAGAACAATGGAAACAAGCTGAACGACATTGAGGCTCTTGTTGTTAATATAGATAAACAAAATGACGTCACATCCGTAGTACTGAGCATGCTCTGCAGAAAAAATATTGCATACTGCATAGAAAATAGTAACTTGATACAGAGAGGAAATGTGATCGTTCACGGACGATTCTGAATGATAAATGACACCTGGAAATAAAAAGAAAAACCTTACGTAGGTGACAAATATATACATCTGTTGTGTAGACATCAATGTTAATAATAGGTGAAAGGCCATGTTGATCACTGCACAAACAAAAATATGAAATTAACATTTTCCAGATTTATCCCATTGATGTAATCTGATTCAGTGATTGAATACCTCTGGATAGGGAGACCATTCTGTTGCCACAACCCTGTTCTCCCAGGAGTAACTGTCTGCCACTCTGGTGGTGTCCGTAGCTACCAGAATTGAAGATAGGTCCAAAGATACTTCCATGTCTCGATGATGTGTTAGATTGCGGCAGTGTATCTCGAGGCAGTTGACCCTTCTCTTGAGACTGCCTAATGAACTGTCCATGTAACAGGTAGTTATCAGGCACTAGAAAAACTAAAGAAATTCCCATCATTAGTTCCACTGTGCAATTCCACCAATTTAGATCCATCATCAGGTTTGCCAGGAACTGACCGTAGGTGTCAAACTTGGGTGATCATGCAAAATTTATCCATGCATGGAGTGGTCTTAGCTGAAGTCTTCCCCAGTACGTTAACTCTTTCAGGGGCGTCCCCAGACAAAACATCCACCAACAAAGCAACTTGTTGGGACGATCCCATACTTTTGTGATCATGTACAGGGTCTGTAGGTATGAATCCCCTGGGAGACATAAAATTCCCTTGAGAAACTGGAATCTGGCACAGACGTAAATTATATCCTGTACTTGATTGACCTTGGACTTGGTTTGATGAACAAGGAAACCCTTTATGTGACAGTAGTGAATGCAACATGTCATGTATTAATAACTTACAACTTTGATAACCAGCTGTCAGTCATCATAATTGGAATTGTCGTTAGGTTGAAGTAGTAGTGGAGAATCTAAGCCAGGTCTATAGGATTTGATCCGAGATACGTGGTTTCCTCTTGCGCCGGGACTCCCTCTGTTGCCTCCGACTCAAACTTTCTGCTTAAAATGTCGAGGGCTATCCCTTGTTTCGGTGCTGATAGGTCATGGCTACTTCCCTGTGTCTCAGGTGGTGCAGTCAGAGGCTTCACCTGAGGGTGGGTGCAATACTTTGTCGAGGCTGTAGATGATTCAACCTCACTAGATCACTTTGCTGCCTACTTCCAGGCATCAGCCAGTTTGGCAAACAAATCCACTGAGAGCATCTGGCATCAACTAAACAGAGTGACCTAATGCTTCACACACTCTTTGCAAGCTGCAGGCGACAACTGTGAGGGTGATGCAATCCTTTCCCACAACACGCCAACAGTAACTCCTTATGTGACCAAAAGCGAGAAAAATCAGCCCAAAATAAGATATGGAGATTAACAACAGTGTCACAACTACCAAGGTGTGATTGACAAAAACATTACAAATGTTAACTCTAGCGGTGAGGTTTCCTGCCTTGCACACATGCAGGAGCAAGAAGCAGCAGAACAATATTGTCTGAACAACTTATTAGGGTTATTGACAGTGAAGAAGACTTCTGTGGAAAATCTAATGATTTTTATCGTCTGATGGCAGCTAAAATAAAGGATTTATGGCAATGATGTAATACAGATGGGATAGTCACAACACATTCTGTTCCTGATAAGCTGATGTGAGTCACTCTGTATGAAGATATGTACAGTAAGCCTCATTTGCAATCCAATATGGCAAATTGTAAAACAGGTCAATAGGTCACCAATGTGATAGTGATAGATCTGCAAATTGGGCCATCTTCCTCAGAGCATTGTAAAACTGCAAGTCGCCACAATCAGAGAGAATCTTTTGGGGGTTCTGAAGATTGATATCTTGTGACAGACTTACTTTAACTCAGCAAAATTGATTTTCACCATGGAACAAAAGGGAATCCAAATGCCTTTTCTTTCCCTTGTCAATCCTGACTGATATATTCTCTTAGATCTTACTTTTGGCACTGTTGGCGCATGAACTCATTCACTGAGGAAGCCAAGTAACTATGGGTGAGTTAACATAACCATCCACATCAAGAATAAGAGCTTCAAATTCCCAAGTTAGAGGGTCAGAGACAGGAGAGACAAACAGTGTGATAGGATTTCTCCCATACCAAGAATAATTCTCCTGAAAAAGCTGTGTCACAAGGCATGTCTGGATGGCTTCCTAGTCTTCTTCAAAATTGTCATAGCTCACTGACCTTAAATGAGAACATTTGTAAGTGTAGTCTGTAGCCAACCATTACCTTGTAGGACAATTACACTTGCATGATCAGTGTAAGAAGATCTGTACCAAAATGTCGCATAGGAAAGAATAATTAGGTTGAAAACAGTAAAGTCAAACATGCCTTTAGAGTTCAAGGCCTATTCAAGATTATTAATCATGAAGGGTCATACTATCAGTCCAAAAATTAAACTGCTAAAAAGCAATGTAGCATGTAATTGCACATGCCAACAAGTCATTAGGGCAGTTGATATATTTTCCTGCATTTGTACTAATTTGTTTGTTATACTCACACTGTGGTATGCTCTGCAGTGTAAGGAGGAGGTATGACAGCACCTCTGCTGCTGCAATGTCATTTACACACTCCTGACATCCAGTCACACAATTGATTACCTGAAAAACAAGCCACAATATATTATACAAAATGTCCCATGTTTTAAGTATTGTCAGTGAACCTTTGACATAAAAATAGTGCCATGACACTGCTCACCAGAACATTTCAGTCAGATGACAAGAAAAATAGAGCCTGTAGCTCACCTTAATTATGAAGAAACTTATTATGGTGACATAAATTAACAGGGAGTTAACAACATTGGTGCATAAGATACGAAAAATATCTTCATGTTTGCAATATCATCTGTGGCTCTTATCTTGAGTGCAACCTCTTGAAACTTGGTGTCATTGTGACTCCCTAGCTGTGGTAGTAATAGGTCTTTTGTGGGGGGTCAATTTTACAAAATATAAATTGATGTCAGAACTTGTAATAAATCTATTTTTTAATCTAAAAATATTATCTTGTTCTACCAATCCTGCTTTGGAATCAAGCTTTTATGCTTGTCACCCGCAATAATTTCTTTCTGAAGATATTGTCGGGAGTCAGGTCTGCAACTGGCGGGCCCTCAGATGTATTAATGCAGGATAAGTATGCAAAAGTAAAAACATATTTAGATTTTACTCAGTTTATCCTGCATTACTTCTTAATGCATCTATATCAGACGGTACTGTCAGATGTAATTCTCAATATGGATAAGCTCTCATAAGACACACGTGTCAAGGAAACTGTATGGTGTGTCAAGCGCCGATTGGTATTGCTTGCTCTATCCTGTCAACAGATAGAAAATGAGTGTTGACGATAAGTCCAGATAAAAAACAATCAGAAGAAAATAGCGAGTGCTAAACTCTTAAAACTGAATTACCGGGCCATTACCGGGCCATCCCCATAACAGGCATGTCTAAACACTGCGCGAGTCGGGTAAGACTGGCTCTGGAATGGAGTTCATTATTTGTGTAGGGGGTTGGTTACCTGCTGGGCTATAACCAGAGTGCTATATCTCCAGACAGTGCTGGACCTCCAAAAACATCATTCCATGATTGCCCTTATAGCACAATTGCTATACAGAGCCATGGTTGAGGTGATCGCCAGGATCTCACGAGGACTGTTCACTCTCGGAAGATCAAGGATAGTGATCTCGTATGCCAGAAGGATGACTGTGCATAACTATAGAGATATGGTGTTGCAACTGACTTGGGTCTTGGACATCTGGGATACTGGAATAAACAGCTGTTTATATGTACAACGACTAGTCTTGGAGCGACGGATAAAAACTCGTAGTGCATGCACAGTCACAGGGCACAATAAGAGTTCTTCCTCATCCCCCTCAATCGTAGAGATTGGTGGAATGGTGAAGGGCCTGTTGGGTTGTCCTGGTAGCTGATTCGTAGCTATAAAATCCCAGCACATCCTCATGTGAACCTTTCCCTGTATACCACGCTCGAAACGGACATGGATAATATCAAGTGTATGTTACTTGCTAACCTTTGTCACTGTTAGCGATACAAACTTAAGGGTAATTTTAAAATAGGGATAACTGTTAGGGTCAAGACATAAACATTATCATGCATAGCATTGTCCTGTTTTCGTTTATCTTCTGTAATAGGCACTTTTCCATGTTAATTTGTGGATAACATTTGTGTTTATGTCAGTATGAACTTAACAGTTTAGGGATTATGTTTATTTGCTGTAAATTACATCAAATTTGAATTTCGATGAGTTCATAGAGCGACATCCCAGGTTACTGGGCTGCGCCATTTTGAATTATGATGTCATTGTTGTTATATTAGTCATATGCATTGTTGCTATAAAATAATATCAAAGGCTGAGTGCATATTTATTTGATTTACCAACAAAAACTGTGACGGATCTAGGGGGTTCGATTAACCGGACATGGTATCACAGTTTGATTTTAGACGCCAGGAACTGCTGTATTGGGCGTATGTGCAGAGGCCTTTTATTGTCAAGTCCTGGGCTTATGTGTGCAATCCCGGCAACACTTGCCTCTAACAAGGTGTAAGCTGCTGTTGAAGAACAGGTAGCGAAATAGGATGTCTACAAGACTGTTAAGGTGAAAAATCTACTACAGGAGGGCTTCTAATTGTGTCTTGTCTTGAAGAGATGTGGAAAATTGTGTTCATATGTGAACCAATGCCAGATCCCATGTAGACTAAATAAATGCGCTTCCCAACCAATTGCCTATGTACAATGTCGTACAAGCGGTCTCAATCTTATATTGAGGTGATGATGAAGGGAGGTGCCTCGTTACTGCTCAAGTTGGCATCGGATGTCTACTGAAGTTCGTGACTTGGGTGTCGTTGTACAAAACAACCTTAGCACTACGACAGTCATAAGTCTGGAGTGGGAGTTATGATCACCTTAGTGCTAAGATTGCTTTGTACAACAGCACCTAGGTCACATTGATGTACAGCGACAGGTGTCTGATCGAATGGTTGCAGCATTAAGTACCAGTAAGCATGCAAACCAATCTGGTACAATGACCCTGCATGGCTAACATTAGGTCAGTTGACCTAATTCCGGTAAAGTCAGGATGTTCTCAGTTAGAGAGTCCTTGACCCGTGACATTTAAATCACGATGCACAATAACCTTGAATCCTGCATTTTGTCGGAGACGAGGTTTGAGCTCCTGGCAATCCACTGTGAACTGGGTGGTAGACAGAAATGTGGTGTCCCCAGTTCTGTGAAGGATGTGTGCCCTGGCTGGTGTTGTTACAAGTTGATGTCCATGAAAAAATGTGATATCTTCACTAGAATTACCGTTACATTTGCTGATCTTTTTCGCCATGATAAGTCATTTCTGGTCTATTTCTTGTTAAATTTGACACTAATACCGGTGCTGACGTCACTTCCGGTTTGTCACATCCTGTATTGGATAATGAAGTCTTCTCAAGGTCTCATTCCACCAAAGACGTTAATTCTTGATTAGTTAACCTTGTACTGCTATTTCTGCTGCTGACGTCACTTCTGTTTATGATCTAATCCATCCTAAACAGGATAAACAAGGTAGTTTGCGCTGCAACGATGGGCCCCAGGGCATATATGCCCCCTAGGTCCGGTTGCATGTCACGCAAGTAATAGCTGGTGAAGGTGTTCTGTGAGGCCCACGGACAGCTAGACACCACTTGTTCTACTGAGACTGATGGCCATGGCGCAAGACTCATGGCTAGGGCTCTGATTTCGTGAGCTGAGCAGGATCCAAAACATGGTGTGGAGTTCTGTGTGTGTATAACTCTCTGCAACAGTATTTTTAAGCCATTCCGCTATTGTAGTCTTGGTGAGGTCTTTGTTGTCTTGCACGATATGAAAAGTCACCTTCGATGACATCTATGTGAATCTGTAGACATGAGATAGAACTTTAGAGCTCTGATGGGACATAATAGTCTATCTTGGTGATCCACTGTTGGTCCCAAAGCAGGAATGGTATAGTGTCTTTGACCTAACGGTCCCATAGTGGAAGATTGATTTTTGGCTACAAAGTCTGGTAACGATCTTAGAGTGACTGAGGTCCTGTATGGATCATGAGTGAGACTAGAACAGTCCAAGGCATGATTCTGAAACTCTTGGTGCTGTCGCCATGGCTAGAAGGAAGGATGCTTTCCTGGACAATTGGAGTAGGGTGGCCTTAGCTATGGGCTCAATAAGGTTCCGTTAGAAGTGCTGGTAGTACTACGAATAGATTCCACTTGGGAATGATACAAGGCGTGCAAACATCTTCAAGTAGAAGGGATCTCATTAGTTTGTTTAGGATGGAATGGTTTCCAATTGAGAATCTGTCATGCTGTAGAACAGAATGAAGAGCCGATCTGTAACCTTCTATCTTCCCATGTCAGAATTTATTGTCCTGATGTAGATGTATTAGAAAATCTGCTACCATAGGGATAGATATAGCATTAGTTACAATCCCTGCTGGGCCAAATTTGTGCTATCAGGATTATCATGCCGATGTGGATGACCTTATCTAGGAGGGACCACGGAGAGAATGCGTAAGCAATAGACCCGTTCAGTCCATCGATAGTGCAACGATCTGGTGAGCTCTTGGGTTGGGTACTGGACTGACATAGACCGGAAGTTGATGTATCAGGCAAGTGGCAAATAGATCTTGGTGAGGTGTGTCCCATAACGTAGTTATCCAAACGAAGATCTGAGGATGTAAGGTCCATTCTGTTGCCACTATTCTTCACTGGCAAGAAAGGTTGTCTGCAAGGATGTTCAATTTCCCGGGTAAATGACTCACTTCCATCTGGCAATTGATGTAGTCTGCCAAGACAAACAATCGTGTAGTCTCCATCATCAGGGAGCTGGATCTGGTTCCTCCCTGCTTCTGGATGTTAGCCACTACTGTGGTGTTGTCCGTGGCTATGAAGATGGATGATTAAGGATAGACGTATCTTTCATGCTAGGATGGCGTAATAGATGGCCTTCATTTCCTTGCAGTTGATATGAAAGTTCTTCTCTCGTGTGCTCCAAGATACCTGTACCATGAGATCGTCCATATGGGCTGCCAATCCCAAATCTGACGCATCTGTGAATAGATGGTGATCATAAGTCGGAGGGATGCCGTTCATCACATGTTCTCTGTGGGTTCACAAATGCAGGTCTCATACTACTTTAGTAGGTAACTGAGTCTTGAATTCTGGGGTCTTGGATCGTAGTGAATTGATCCATGTCTGTAGAGGACATAGAATCAGCCTTCTTCTAGAGGTCATATCCTGTAGAGACGTTTAGTTGCCTAGAAGAGACATCCACCAACTCAGTGACCTGTTGGGTAGACTTGATAGTGATTGAATCATCATGATAGGAATCAATCCTCTGGTGGGCAAAGATATCCCTTGTTTAGTTGGAATCTTGCTCTGATGTATATGATGTCTTGAACCTAGGGAGCCTAGGGATGTCATTGGTTGGACCAAGAATATCATGTTCTGGTGTAGCTGAGCTGTACGGATTACATCTGGAATTTCGGTGGAGGTACCAGGTAATAATTGTTGAGGATCTTTAGGTTGATTATCATCCTCATATCGATCTCATACTTTTTTGGGACTAG